CAAGCTTACTATAGATCCGACTAGATTAAGTGTTACTTAATACTTGCCACTAATTAATATAATTAATTAGCACCTTATTAACTAACATAATAATCTTCACAGCTTGACATTTTATTTGCTAACACAATATCCACACTGTATATTACTACGATAATTAATAACAAAAGTCAATTAACAACTAGGTTGTTGTCGAGATCGGCAACCTCCATAATAACGTTATTACACATATTAGATTAAAATATTATTCATTTCGAAGCGAGCTCCGTAACACAATTATAAGTCGGTAATCGCCTGAAATTTAAATAATTTAACATATTATTTTTATTAAAGTTAGTCCTTACGGAGATATGAGCTATTTCCTAATCTTTAACTTATAATAGAGGCATCTACGCAATAAGTTAGTACCCATCGTCTTAAATATCACTAAGGTAGTCTATAATATTGAATTCTTCAGTAACAGCTACAATGATAGTGTAGTGTTCACTTCTAAATACGGTATAGTTTATTTCTATTTCTAGTAAAAGTATGAGTTTTCACTAGACTGTATCATAATTCTAAGACTATAACATAACTCTAAATATGTATGATCTATATTTAACAATTTACTCTATGGAAATATCTTGCACTCTAGCTAACTTACACCGTAGTACTAGCTTAACATAGAAGTAACCTATTTTCATGAATCATTCGCGCCTATAAATAATTTCCTTCTACTGTGCTCCTAACATTATAAAAGTTATCTTTCGTCTATCTCGTTAGTTAGTTCTGGTAGTTACACGGTAAGCTTGCACACTTTACCTATTCTGCACTACTATAGCTATTCGACTAGTTACGTTGTTACTCGCACGATAATCTTACACAAGCTCAATAAAGGTTAATCTTCCGTTAACTATTCTATTGTACTTTATTGCGACTAATGCCGAACTCTCAACCTTCCGAAACATCACAGATAGTATACCAAGTTATAGCTGTAATGAATTCCGTAGCTTAGTTTCTGTATTGCTTTGATGAGTGATCTTGTAAAAGTCATTGCTTGCCGAATCGGGAAGATAAACCAGTAATTTTTTTATTACTAGCCCAATTTTGTTTTGTCAATGCAGTATTAATTGCTATAAATGTATACGGCTCTATTCCAGTATTCGGCTTCCTTCTATGTTCGGTGTTTTTCAGTTGCTGTAGCATGACGCTGACTTTGTTTATCAAGACTGTAACTGATTTTAGCTAATATGTTTTATATTTCTATGCCTAAAAGAGCTTGGACTTAGTTTATTTTAAATCAAGTATTAAGGTCCAGGCTAATCTGAGACTGTTTAGTTGATATTTGCTCCTAGTATTTAGATACTAGTATTTAGGTTCGGAGAGTTTGTTACAAGCGATTGTAACAAGTCTTATATGACTTGGTAATATCATGAACTAGCTTATATGACTTGGTTATATTATGAACTAGCTAACTCATGCATACATACATACGAGTATGTGAAATTCAGAAGCGTGCGAGGTATCATATTATTGACTATTAAATATTAATATTAATCAAGAGTAATGATGATCTACATTCACTTTAGAAGCAAAAATAAATGAAAAATTTCTCTATTCTTAAATATTAATTAATGTTGTACTGGTAGCAGTATCATTGTCATAAAATTTATATTTAAGACAATTGTATCAATCTTAGGCACCGGCAGTGATTTGTATTCATCCACACAGTTTAATAAAATAACGTGCAATTTTTAAATATTCACCGACGACGAAAAGTGATAAGAATATTTTATTCAGTTTCTATATAGAATTCCAAATTGGCGGCATCGATAGTTTATTTCAAATCTGATCATGAAGTTTATATTTTTAAACGGTTAACCTAACTTTTGGATTTGATACCGATTGTAACGCAGTTTCTAAAGTTCGATGAATTGTTAATACAATTCCTTAAAAACAAGAGAAGAAGTAAATAACACAATACAGTATCAGAGAAGTGATACTTGAAGCGGTTCAATTTTATGAATAGATAAGAGAACAAAGTTACTGAATATTGCGAATTATTAAGAAATGTCTTTAGCCGGCTTTTAATCCAGCCGTTATAAGGACAATTTTTCAGTATTTGTGGTAGTGCATACTCATATGCATTAAAGCGATAAAAACTATCAAATTAACAAAGATACCTGCCGGAAATAGCAAAGTTATCAGTGTGCCATGAACCGTAAACATAATCGATCTGATACGCTTTGGTTTGTCTCTAATTTTAAGGTAAATTGAAGTGGTAGTATTGGTAATCAACATAGGATATCAGCAATTACAATCATACATGTGACTTTAAAGCTTCTTACAGGTGCCTGTTTTCATTTATGAGATTGATGCAAATTCTTATTCTAGTTTAATTTTTGTATCGTAATAAGTATTCTAGCTTTAAAAATATGACTTATTTGGTTGATTATAGTAATAGATTTTACTAAGTATCTAAGTATAGAGTAAACGCGACTGCTTTATTCAGGTTATAAGTTGAGATAATCCGTAGCATAATTTTGTTAAGAATCAGATGTTATAATTTTATAACTCCAGCGATATATTTAGTTAATAGAATATAATATATGTGTGCTAATTTTTGATCATCAATTACAGTAGAAGTTAATGTTACTTTGTTATTTCATGCGGCTTGACCCAAAATATTTGATCTGGGATTGTGATTTTGTCTTAGTGTATATATACAATAGAAATGTACAGTTTCAAGCTAAACTATATTTAGTATTAATTTAGTAGTTTTCGGGAGTCTAGGGTATAATTTATCTTATCAAATGTGTTTGATTGCTAGTTTAATTTGGAGTACTTTAGAATGATAAATGGATAGTCTAGTATCACCAACTGCTCTGCGCAACATATAAAATGTGACGTAGTTCAGCAATTTAGTGCAGCTGAAGTTAGAGAAGATAAAAAAGTCCAGGATAGTCGTGAGTTATCTCATTAATTGATAGTTTGATTGGTTTGGGCATTTAGTTCTGCTCGTATTTTGTAATTCATTTAAAAAGTTTTGCCAAGATTTTTGTTTAAGTTATAATAAACTGGTGCTTTTCCTCTAATTTATTTTGCTTGGACTGTAATTGTTGGTAGTTTAATTAAATTAAGTAAAATTCTATTTTTTTTACCACCAATACTACTATGAAAGTGACTATTTTAAATGCTATTTTACTTTTAATAAAGTCTAGCCAGAATAGGATGCCAATATCGGTCAAACTTACTGGATTAGATTGGGTTTCAATTATTAAAATATTAATAAATGATGTAATCATATTTGGTTTAAGGCGGCGGATGTGAAATTCGTTACAGTAACTAGTAAATTAGCTATTCAAAAGAACAGGTTAATAATCTGCACTAAGCAATACTATAGTGTATTTGGATTGTACTGTAACTGTAATCTACTCTTAAATATAGACATTTTGTATTGCTATTAAATACAGACATATTTACAGTCTGTTCGCTCTACATTCAAATATGGCTTACTACATTTAGTTATTACAGTCCTCACTATTTTCTACAATCATCTGCTATTCTATAGCCTGTTATGGTATATGTTGTATCTAATCCTATAATCATGTTCTTTGCATGTATTCACATACCATAGCTATAAATACCGCCGTTTTCTACCTTAGATTTCTTAAGTTGCATTATTAGTCACAGTTAGTATTCACACTTTACTCATAGCAGTTACCACGCTGATCTACCGTAATTATCACATTGTACCTAACTACTATCTACAGTAAAGTATCTTCTTTTCTTAAGCTCCTTGTGCAATTCTCTGCATGGCAACTAAAACCACATTATTTGACTCTTCGAACCCTCCATCACAAATACATTGGAAGAAAATTCACAGCTAGATTATCTTAATATATAAGCTTCCTAGATAGGTACAATGATGAAGTGAAATATCTAAAAGTAACGACGATACAATGGTTAAATGTTATTGTGTTCGTCATAATATAACCGATCTCAGTGATGTTGTTTTTTGAAAAATAGATAATTTGCGAAACAATATATTCATAAATTAGATTAAGAATGAAATTGAAACAATCAATTCTTAAATTGAAAGCGTTCTGATATTCAAAATTGATAATTATGTAGAAATAGGTATAATGATCTACTCGTATATATTTCTCTTTTCATTATATATGTTTGTGCTAAACGATTGTCGAAAATGTCGACTGTAGGGTAGTAATAGAATTGTTTGCTACAACCACTAACGTAATTCAAAAATCGTTTCCAGTTATACACATAAGTATAAAAAGTGTCGTACAGTCATTAATTTAAGTTTGTATGTGAATATCTAAAGCCTAAGTATGTACGACTGTGAAGTGTAGTTTAAATTTTTTTAAAACATCCAGACGTGTCATAATTGCCAAAATTACAACATTAGACGATTTGTAAATATTTTTATTGATAAAAATGTCAACATGCTTAGGTAATCGTATCCAAAATTGATGGCTATTTGATCCCTATTTTCATTGTCAACACGTTGTCTTAAATTTTATAATAATACTAGCTTCGTAATGCCCGTTATAAAACGAATAAAGTCATTAAAGTTTGCAGCTCGTTTAGATCTATCAGAGAATTAACTCATTTGTTCTCATCCAGCAATAGCAGTATGACCGTTATAGAATATTTAGTACTTTGCCAATGGACATAATTCTAATCATTTCACAACGTATAAAGAATGGTATCATGTGAATCTGTCATTTACTGCACTCTCTATTGTAAATTATTAATCATTTCTTGGCACTTATACTGTAGTAACTACGCTCGCTTTTTTTACGATTTGGAAATAAGATCTAATTTATGACCTAATAAAGTGCTGACTGTAATACCCATAGTTTCCAGAATTGAATAAAATATTAAACTACTTCGCTATACTAAAATGAAGAAGTTGAAATTAATAGAAGTGGTTATTACATTTAGATTTTATCAAAAAATGAAGAGAGTAAAATTACTATGTATTCAAATATTGGGAAATGATCTTAATCGGCTTTTGATATTACTAGAATTGAAAGACTTTTTTTACGCTTAAAGTAACGTAAATGTATTAATACGATAAAAACTATCGGATTAAGAAAACCGTTTACGGGAAATAGCAATGTTATCCAGGTTCCGTAAGGACCAAACATAACTTTTCCAATTTTCGTTACTCCAAGAGCGTAAAGAAGCGATATCGCTGTTGTAGGTAGCCAACAAAAAATATTAGTAACAACAATTATACTTGTGATTACAAGGCTTGTTTCAGCTCCTATTTTTCGTATATAAGATCTAGTTCTATTATTAACTTGAGATTTAATTCTCACTGGAGATTTTCGAACATGATATAATGAAATAAACAGTAACACAGAAACAACAATGTAAATAAGCAAACTATTAACAGATAGAAATGCGGCAAATGCAATAACGAGATCGTTGTCTAGATTGTCGATAATACATAGTCGACTGTACCAGCTATTGGTCCGCTTGTGCGAAGTTAATTTGGCTAAGATGACAGCCAATAACCCACAACCACAGCCATAAAGCCAAATAAGACGACATATCCAAATTGTACGACGTAGAGTAAATTTCCAGTTCATTTTTAATGGATATACGATCAAAACAAATCGATCGATTGCAATCATTAATGTCATCCAAACTGAAATTGTGGATCCACTTATGGTTAGAAATCGTAAGAATTGACATAGAAAACTATGATTCCAAATTTTCAACTGTTCTCCTACAATACTACGATTTACATAAATTGTCTTTGATTCGTTAGCATAAATCAAGTAAGACTTCGTTTCGCTATCGGCGCATGCATCAGCTATTGCTAATATAACTAAGTAAAGTGACGACATCATATCAGCCATACTTAAATTAACGAAAAATAGTATAGCCACTTTACCCATTTTTATCCGTTTCTTGTTTTGATAATCTCGAGAGGGGCTTGTAATATTTAAATTCAGACGAGATGCTTCACTGATTTGCATTGCTGCTGTTACCTCTTTGATTCTATACCGATAATTGCTTATGCAGGTGGTCATTACGTATAAATTGGCGACGATACCACCTAATCCGCAAGTCCAAGCAGATGCTAGCGCTACTATGCTATTATTAAACAGGCTAGTCATGTTGAATGATAATTTTGATAAAGTCTAATGAGATTTTGATATCATTTTCGATAGCGATAACGAAATTAATTTGAGTTGTAGATAGAAGTATTGGTATTTAATATAATAATAATTTATAGATGTTGAATAATTAAAGATCCATTGCAGTCACCTCGACCAAGATATATATAGGCGGTAAAGTAGGGAGAGGATACCCAGAACTAATATTATAAAATTGGTTATAAAGTGACGATTCTTAAATGAGGTTGTTTTGAATTTTTAGATGGAATAGGAACGCTGTAGGAATATAAAACAAGACTGAAATTGATACATTAATTTCTATAGTTGCGATCGAGTATTGTCTAATTCGAAACATAGTGTTTATGATTCTATACTGCATGAGAAAAAATGGATGTTGACAGGATCCATAAAATAATTAACAGAAATATCTCAAAGTTTAATATTTAGAATAATAATTGTTATATTTATTAATATACAATGGTCTTTTCTAATAAATATACTGCTTTGCATGGAAGACGACTGTACAGCATTTTGTAAAGGTCATTATAATAGTAAATGATTTTAATGGACACATTTCCTTCTCAAGATCGTTAACGTATTTTAAAATTCTAGCTTTGATTTAAGTAGTAGAATATAAATGTCCTTCTTTAATCGCATTTTGAATTGTAATGGAAGGAAGCTTAACTCATATTATAATACCATAATCATTCATAGCTTAAAAAACGAATGATAGACGTCGATGTCTACATTTTATAAAACAAGTGTTTAATTGGCTATCATTCCCATTAATAATGACTAATTAAGATCGTTACGTATGCTTCTGATAAAATGTTTAACCACGTATTACAAGCTCAAGCAACGATATATAGTATCAGCCTAAACAAGAAATTTTGACTAGAACTATTTAATAAACAAGATTGCAATGTAAACAATCCGTATGCCCTGTAAAAGATATATATTCATATTCAGAAATAATATGTGACTGGTACATTTATTTGAGTTATTATTTTGTGTATTTACATGATAATATCGAGTTAGATAGGAGAAAAGCCATTGATATTTTTTATTATTTTTAATCCGAAGCCTTTATTATTAAAGTTAATTTCTCACGAATCTAGTATACTTAATGCATTATGTATGCGTGTATTAATTGACTGATTATTGTTCCGATAACGTGTATCAAAAATTTCTGGTTCAATAAGGGAGATTTTTGGCTTCTAAGCGTTGTCCTATAATTAGTTAAAGCTATTAAGAATTTCTTACGTTTGTTAGGTGAAATGAAGTAAAATAAAAATTTGAGTCTTTTACTGTTACAACTTTGATTTCTAACATGAAATACGATTAAGATCTTATCGAGCCTAGATGATTATATTGAATAATTATAATCAATTGCTTTAAGAATATCTTATAGCCATTATCGTGTTCGTGCTCATTTACTGTAATAGTGATGGTCTAAAAATGGCTGCGACTCTTGGAAACTCAAGGAAAATCAATTTTAATCATTTTCAGTAAAGTTTTAAGCTCTTAAATTTAATTCAAGTCATCCTCAGTCATGATATAAATTTAATTTTATAGCATTAAAATCACCTCATAGAATTCTGATTTTATAAATAATAATTATAAAAATGTAGTTGATTATCTAAGGTAAAAGTGATTTTGACCACAATTTTTTATTAATATTATCTTCATTAAGGTATAATATTCTATTTTAGAGCTTATATTTTAATATCTGATCAAGTGAAAATAAACTATCTGTGATAAAGCAAAGTTACTTAAATTTTGTAACAAATAGATAAAATGTTTTGCCATCTACATCTATTCCAAATTTGAATTTAATAGAATGAAAACCCATTGTTAAAATTTTATTACGGTAATTAAGGTTAATGTTCGTCAATTATTGCTGACATGGATTGGCTTACGTATTAAGTTGTGTGTACATTCCACGTTCTGATAGTACATGAAGGCAAAAAATTAAATTCATACTCGCATGATCATATCGTATTACGCATACATTGGATTTTTATAATTATCGAAACTCAAAATCTGTCATCAGATATTTAACTTAGCAACATTACCAGTTGTACCTATTGTATTCCTAGCTCGTAATACTTCACGAATCATGTAAAAATCTAATTACTGTATCAGTGTCTGCATTATCATGTTATTTTTTATTTGGGTAATATGTACTTATAAGTTTGCATCTCTGGAATAGTGCACACGTATTCCATAGTAGAATACTTTAAACGGCATCACTGTTATTGCCATTATATTGCAGATAATGATAATCAAATCAGTTGGAATATTCGGAATGACCTACTTTAAGTTACATGTAGCAAGATTTAAACTCCAATTGGTAGGAATTTAGAACGAATATGGAGAAATCATTTTCGTTCAAGTTACTAAGATCACGAAATCTCTGATTAATTATCAATTATCAAGGTTTCTATTTGTATTATTTAAGTATAGCATTCTTACCATACCTTCAACGAATACGTTAGTTTACTTCTTCTACGTGGAGCTATTTGTAATTATAACCTCTATAATCTATTGGTGGAAGTATTGCTACAATGTTGAATGTCAAGAACACTAAGTTAAAAAGATTGATTTGTATACCAATAGTTGTTGATTTTATATAAACAAAATTATATAATACGTACATAATTTTCGTCTACGATGAGTTTAAATTACCAGCACCTCATATTGCTAATACGCATTCACTAGTCATTACAATCGAAAGTGATCTTCATCTCAATGAAATAGCGAAAATTTATTTAATAGTGCCATACTATTAAAAAAGAGGTTGCGAAATTATTTTGCTAATGCAGATGTATATACGAAAATCTTGGCACAATCACATAAACCGATACGTCTGCTATGAGCTAATTGATACTAATCATAAACATAAAATTCATATTATTTATTTGAATAATATGTCTATTAAAGTTTCAAAAGTTACTGCTGTGCGTTATCATTCTTACGCTTCTGATAAGATAAGAATTCTTGTAAACACAGTTTTCTACAATAATGGAACTTTTTTAGTAAAAATGGCCGTATTTGAATAATGGATTAGATCAATTAATCATACTAATTGATACGAAAGATTATAATAAGGCTAATTAATCAACCTTCCAAGTTATATATGATTACAGCATAAAGTTGCAATTACTGTGAATATCTTATACAATAACAATTCCTTTACCGTCCACGCTATACAGCGCAATGAATTTGCGGGATGAAATGAATTTCTTAGATTATATTTAAAATTTTATACAACATATTGATCCAGTCTTATAAGTGTTATTTACAGAGAGTTTTAACGTCCATTGCATTAGTTCTTTACAGTAGTGCATGAGTAACACATAAAATTGTTTTCATAATTTTGATACAAATGGAATTGAATGAATGGATTGCAATGATCTCATTGATTGTAAATATTTCACAATGGAAATAAAAAGCAAATGAAGCTGTAGATTTTATTTACAGTTAATCATAATAACCCGAGAACAAGGTAAAAATCTAGAACCGAAATTAGCTTAGTTTTATGATGACAAAAGCGTAGCAAATCTCAATTAGATGATAGCAGAAGTTATTTTACTAAAGCGTATTCACCATTATTATGGGTTAGCTTTTGTTCTTGTACTTTCTTATCCAAAAACATTTTCAAATCTCTTGAAGAAAGCTCCCCTGCACTTGGTATGAAGAGCTTCAATGAACTACAGATGCGGTCTAACTCCATGGCAGGAAAATTGGTCAGCATTCCAACTATATACGACCAGTACAGCTATATCACACAATTTCAAAAAAAGAAATATCAGTAACGTTAATTTAAGATGTGAGTACAGGATCTACGTTATAAATTTCACAAGCGTTGGTAACCTCCTGTTCTTCTTCATGTTGATCAGCTGCGGAAGTTACAGTTGTTGTTTCATCATCCTCAGTAATAGCATCCTCCGGAGTAATTCCTTAAATTGTAAATCATGAATATATGAAAACCAATGGAACAACATCAGTTGCATAATACATAAATGATATAGATTTCATTCTAGCGTATATGGTATACGTACCAGACATATCATATTCACTATCCTCAACTAGATTATATGAGTCTACAGGAGTTTCTTTAAGAAGCCCCTGATTAATCCAATAAGAAATCTTTCTACGTAAGATTGTACTGCTGACTTGCAGTTCTTCACTGATTTCTTCGATAGTCCATTGCACTAAATGTAATTAAAATTATACCATTACTTTAGCTTGTAAAACCTTAAAAATATCGTCAAGGTATGCGATGTAATTGCTTCAATTGATGGTCAATGTTTAACTTATTGTACAAATATTATACCTTTCTCCTGGAATAAATAAATAATGGATGCTTGCAATGGAGTTACGGAGAATTGTTTTTGATGGTTAGCAATTTCGATTTGAATATTTACTAATCCTAAATGATATTTCCAATGCAGACCCCTCATTGCTTTCAGCTTTTCGAAGTGCTTTGCAAATGCAGTCATGGTCCTGTATACCCATAACAAAGAAAGCTTTTATTGCGGATCACAAATTTTGATTGCTTTTTGAATCCAATTTTTAATGCAATTGTCATAATCGAGACGATGTGTTTTTATCGTATTATTTACTTTTCAATTTTGGGGGGTAATTTCAATTTTTCTTCCTTAAATTTCGGCCAGAAATTCTCAGATATAATCAAAGTATTTAACTGGAAGTCCAACTGTTGTAAAATTTTATGATTGCAATTTAGTGGCTGATAAATATAGCATTAACCTGCATGAACTCAAATTTAGTGTCTACGAGGATGTACCATTAGGCTATCATCTTTTTCTTCTTGTACAATCTTATTCATTGTTGATTGAATATGGTCACTAATTCGGCAGGAATCCTTTACGTCCTTTAGCATCACTTCACAGTCACTTAAATTGGTTTCGCCAAATTTTAATTTAAGAAGTTCTAAATAGCGAATCTATAGATATAACAATTATTCAACAACGATGTAAGATAATAATAAATCTCTACTCAGAAAAAAATTACTAGTAATGCGGAAATGTACCTCTTTGTCCGTGTTAAAATCAAACAGCGTTAACAATCGATGAGCTAAGAGATTTCGGTACTCTGAGGAAAATAGTTGTTTACTTCCATAAATGGTTACCAGCATACTTAATCAAAAGAAATCATAATCAAGGATTAGTCAAATGACTAAAATTAAAAAAGTTGTACGCTACCATGGATTAATGCGATAGCATATGAATTATTGAAGTGAAACCTTAAAACGTCTTTTTTCTTATGATATCCAGATGTCATGCCCTCTAATTTAGGAACACAATTTCAGCATGTTAAAGGAAATATCATGGCAGCTTAGTAACCGTATCAATTGATATCTTTCTGTGGTACTACAATCGGATTAAACGAGCTTACTTCTGGCTATAGCATCGACAGGATCTGGAGACCAGTCTTCATCGCTGTCCGTATCGCTTTCATTAAATGAATCCGTTAGGGAATTATTTCCACGAGCGAGTTGCTATCATTTCAATGAAAAAATGAAGTTAGTGTAGAATAAATCATGATTAAATTCATGCAGCTATTATGATATTTTTACGCGTTCAACTTACTTGAGCTAATTCTCCATCAGTGTCGCTAGTCAAATTTGATATAATACATCTAATAGTATCTTCTCTTGAGCTATCAAGTGTAATGAATAAAGGTATGGTTGTTAAAAATGCTGTAATAGCTTTTATAAAATCTACGAACCGACTGCAAGATTGAATAATATCCCGTAGATTAATAACCTTAAATACTTCCGAATAGGATAGCAGGCTACATCGAGAATTATTCCAGATGGATCAATAATTCTTAGCGAGTGAATTGCTGATATGTACTGATCAAGGATATCGTTCGTATTAGCACCAGGATGCAACAGTCTAGTTTCGAAGCTGTTGAAACATTATTGAGAAAAGGCTTTTCGATTAAATAATTATCAGAAGCATTATCAATGTCAGTTTTACTACTTACGTATTTCTTAAAGAATATGCTATTGTTTTACGCAAATCATTTCTTTCCATGCATAACTGTTATAGTAACGAGATCAAATAAAGCACAAATATTTACAACATTTTAACGGGAAAATTGTGACTAAGATACTATTAGACAGCCTATATCAACGGAGTAGATATACCTTTAACTCCTCTAAACTAGCCTTTGATTCTGGAAAGTCGATAATGATATCAAATAATTCTGAAATCCTATGGATAAAACGAAAATTAATTACATCATTTTGAACTGATTAGTAACTATTTACGCGGTTGTAAATAAAATTACGTTGTTATCAGTTTTTTTAACAAATTTGTGGTATATGATTACAATAAATATCACCTTAGTTCTCCATATACTTTGTATAACTGATGGATCATGAAGGTCTTCCAAGAGGTTACTGTATCGTCTTCTATTAGATAAATATAAATAGTTAAAAAACAATCTTCGATTTGTTAGGTAAGCAAAATATCCACGTGTTAAAAGTCAAACGAGGATAGTCTTAGTAAGTGATTTTGTATTGCGGCTACTTAATATACGTCCACAGGGACGGTTATGTTATTATCTAAAATTTTACATACCAGCCAGCACGGTCTGAAGCCATTTTAGTAAGAAATTGTTAATCCAAGATTCCATTTGAGGCAAGCAGTACTGATCATACTGTCCTGTACAAATTTCACGGATGTGGTTGTCGATCTAGTAAGTTTAATAGAGAACGTAAAGCCTTACTGTTACGTTAATTTATCGATGTTATTTATTTGGTAAGGCAACATTCAATATTAACATAGCTTTATTATCCTAACATTTAGAGCTATGAATTCAAGGGCGATTAACTATCTTACATGATTGTATAGTACTTCGGTAAAGCAGGCAGAACAAACTTTCTTGACAATTTGCAAGTTGTTTACTTGTGAATTGAAATTTTTAAATTCTTCCATTAAGTTCTCAGGTGAATAACCATTATCAATCAATTCAGATAATTCTGTTGGCAAACTATCGCCTAAATTGATGATATAATACATAATTAATACCTATTTTTGTATTTACAAAATAATTAAGCGTATATGTGTGGATCCCATTGTATCATAATAATTAAATCGTTTGCTGCAAAATTTTAGTTAAAATATCAATAAAGTAATTTAAATAATTTCTTTCAGTTCGCAAAAATTCTTTAATCATTGGCAGTTTGCAACCTTCCCAGTCATCTTGGTGAAAATGTAAAAATATGGACAGGGCTATCGAATAAAAATTCTCCAGAGAATCAATAACTGATTGCGAAAACTTGTCAAAAACAACGGACCAAGATAGCCGATAGTACTCCTGGCGTAACGGATCGCTGCAAAACGAATTATAGCTTTAAAAATTCTTTTGCATTAATCTTAATTTGTAATTATAGATTATAATTCTACATGTACGTATAATAATTTAATTTCTACAGAGGTATTTCGCAGTATCTTTACATCATTCGACTAATATCTGCGCTATTGCATACCACTAATGGATAATTTAATCATTCGTATATGTTAGTTTACTATACCACTTTTGTACTATGTTATGTAAATGCAAACGTTACCTGCTATGATTAAAAACTAAGTCATCCAAGAAGACAATCGGAGTGACAGCGGATTGCACATGTTTATGCAAATAACTGAAAGAATTAATTACTCCATTCCAGTTGGCTTCTTTGATGTCCTATAACGTCGTAGATTAATCGTTAAATTTCATTTAATACCTTCAGAAGAAATGTTTTATATAAGCCACTTCAAGCTGAATATCATTCACAGTCTTCGATAGCAATAACTAACAGTAAGTAACATAGTTTATTATTGCACATTGAGATCGCTATGATGCGTGTCGAAATGATGTTGACGTAGACAATATGTAAAATATGCATAATACGTGTAAATTTAGTCGATTGCGCAGCATATACAGTAATATATCAGATGCAGCTGAGAGTCAAACATCTTCAAATTTAAGAAGTCTATTTATCACTTTATTAGTATTTTGTGAAGTGGCAGCTCCATCACAACTATTAATTATTAACAAATACACGGTATAAAGTTACTGAACCTCTGACAGGTCTATCAAATGGTAATACTATCAGTTAACTATTAACAAATGAGCACATTATCGTAAACCGTCAGCAAAGCGACGGGAGTTTGTACTAGTATATATTTATAATCAAATCTACTGCTTGGCCTCCGCTTGAGGAATGAGTACGAAGGAGTATTGTATTATCATACTTTCAATATTTAAGGGTTTAACATGAACTAGTTATGGCCTTCAAATTTACAATGTTTATGACTTTAGTAGTAAAATTTACACCCACTTTTTCCTGATAATTGGGAAAGCGCTTCCAAAAATGTTCCTTTATCTTTGGTAAAATACTGGATCGGAAATAATCTACATGATTATGAGACATTCAACGCAGTTTAAATTAGTGGATAGATTTGTTCAATCAATGCATATTCCATGAATAATTTAAATTGTTCTTATATGTTTATACTTTTAACAATTGCCCATATGCGCGTACTCTTCGTAAAATATTAAAATATATCCATTGCACTGTACATTATATTCCCTAAGTCAGTATTGAACTATGTACAGTATTTGGCATTGACTTACTGTATGTAGGGCAACATTGATACACATTACTGTACTGTTTGCGAATCATTTATAGACTGTTAGGTTATAATTGTTATTGCTGATGATCTTGTTAAATATATTTTAATCATCAGTATATCCATTGCATTATTATTATTATTACTTTACGTAGTTGTAATTCATTTGAAACAACTTTTCAAGTTGTCTTACCTAGATGCCAACATCGAATGACTGGGAATACATCACGCAAATCCGTGGTTGTAGCCAGTTCTGTATAATAGCAATTTTGTATTTATGATCAGTATTTAAATTAGCAATAAAAAATGAATAAATATGGTCATTTTACCCTTTAGCATAGTAATTTCATTTCCCTTCAAGGCAGAGGTTAAGTTTGTCCATAGCTGTGTATAGTCAGGGTTAGCCGCCATTCTTGTTTTAAAATAAATTCGCACATGCGCAAATGGTTCAGTCACAGCTTTTCCTTCTGCTAGCGCAGTCGTGGTCTTACTTGAACGAACCAAAAATAGAAGAGACTAGTTATTGTTCTGATGCAAACCAACCACAATCACACGACCTTTTACAGCTGCAGTATAGAGACAGCAAAGAACTTCAAGGCACCGTACAGTACAGTAGAGTTAGAAGAAAGCGTACAGTACTATACCGTACCTGCACAGTGTACTGTACAGTGTACAGTACAGTACGATGTACTGTACGTACAGTGTACAGTACATATCGTTTAAGGGTTCAGAGGAAGATGCAGACTGGCGCGGGATTTTCAGTCTTGAATGACGCTAGTGATTGGGTGACTTTTCGATCTGATCAGGCAGTAGAACACGGGCCCGAGCTGCACGGCATTCAGTACAATACTGTACACAAACGGTACGTTCGTATACTACTCATGCACAGAGGACAATGGCTTTATACGTACAGTACAGTACACAGCGTAGTGTGGTACTGTACTAGGACGGTAGTGTGAAATAACTGTACAGTACAGTACTATACTGTACAGCATTCGATTTCAATTCTTGACATTCGAGTACTGCATCTTGCTCAAAGCGCATATATAAGAATGGCGCTAGAGGGAGAAGATTTAACAGATACTGAGCGCAAGGTAAAGACGATAGGGTAACCGATTGGAGTCAAAACTTGTAAATAATTTCTTACCTTGCCTACTATTAGGACGAGAAGCAGAGATCTCAGAAAGATAGTGATATCAACAGTAAATGCTACTGGTAAGATGTTTGCATCCATTGATGAATAACATGTCAACCAAGTGCATGGTTGAGCATAGTACATTAGCCTGAAATTGCACATTGAAGTACTATTCACATTGTCTAACGATCGACTAATAAATACTTACAAAGTGTTTTGCAATCCAGGTTGATATTTTATGCAGTATGCAGCGTGACTACATGATCTCAGTATGCATATTACAGTACTGTAGTTTATTGCTAGTTAAAATATCCATTTACTCCTTAACAAGTGTACGCATTCATTTGAAAGTATACGCTTACCGATTTCTTGGAGATAGAGTCAAGATGTTTACTGTACTAGGCAGTCTTTCATTTTCCAGTTAACGAAAATTTTTTTTATATCAATCCTTATTGTAGCGGCCTAGAACGACTTAAAGATGGCACAACTGTAGAATTTCAATGCGTCGATTGTCGATGTTGGTTTCACGCCAAATGTACTGAATTTACCTCAGAGTACGTTGTTGTTGTTGTTTTTTCCAATAAGCCTCGATTGTATTATTATCAATGTGCGATTTCACTGCTATATCATATTGTACAGTTACCATATTTACGATATCAATTAATATTGGATATTGCGTTGTCCATCGGTCATCGTCATACCTTGATGGTGTATAAAATATACCTTCAGTATAATATATACGCTTTGAAAGCATTAATAGAAGTGTATGGAGGGTTTCGTTTCTTCTGAAATCGGTAGAGTATTTCGTAATACCATTAACTCCAGTTGCCTTACAGTCTAAGAATGCTGCGAGTTATAGCCTGCAGCGCTGTACTGTCTAGGCTGCTGGTTTACCGGATATTAGCTTTGGATCTTAAATGGAACGATGCTGCACTGCCTGTACTACGCATGTTGGAAATTGGACTATTAAACGCATTAATTTAATATTGATCATAGCTGTTTTATTATTTATTTATTTGCAGTAAACTAATTCCCTATTTAACTAACTACGAATACTTGTGCAAGAGATGTAGCACCGATAATAATGAAAGATTTGAATTGAAGACTGCACGTAAGTAAAAGATGTTCAAGGAGGCAATGACAATTGCAATAATGAGCGTTAATACTTTGTTTGGAAACAAGTGCATCTCAATCAATATTTACAGCTACTTACCGAATTTTCTCAATTACTTCTGAGATAACCACCAGCTATTACTGTAAAGAGATGATGCAGGTGTTTACACTATAATCATTTGGACTATTTTATTAACTCCAGGTTTAGTACAAGTATGTGTTACTGCTTTAGCCAATTTAATGACAGCTCGTCCTGATTCTGAAGAAATGTTCTGCAAGGAGAAGGTCAATTATAGTTAAAAGATTTAGCTTCGCTATCTGCTAATTGTACGCATATATTTCCAATGTGGCGTTCCTTATTATTAATAATATGTCTTGGCTTAACAGGATATCGTCCCTTTTGTTCAGGAACACTGGATCACAATCTTTATTAATCGTGCTAAAACTTCTTCATGGCATGGTAATCTTAATAAAGTTTTAGTAAGTATGCCATTGACATTTGTTGTATTACCTCATGACACATTGGGTATTATTGGTAATCGCCTGTCGATCCTAGTTCCAGCGCGACTGATGTAAATGATTAAATTTATATTATCGCTTTGTTATATATTCGCAGATTAAGGAGAAAGATTTTTTTATTTGTAATCAAACAACTAACGATAGTGGAAAGCCTGTAGTTTATGCCCGTTTAAAGAGCGATGTTGTAAGTTGATAAAATCTGTGCATTATGGCTAAGATGCGATAGCAAGCCCTTGAAAAGTTCAGTAATCAAGTTTTATATTAGGAGTTATCTACCATCAGTCCCCTACTATTTGACAGCAAGTCATCGTTAATGGTCTATAGTAAAAATTATTATCCCAGCGAAGATCTTGTAAAAGAGAAATATGGTCACAAAAGGGGCAAAGAAAGTGGTGGTGGTAGACGTAAGGGTGAAACATTGCACAGCCAGTCTGCCAGTAAAAAATCACGAACGTAAGTCTAGGATCTTAATGCAAATGTATGAAGATCCAAAAATTATCACGTTTAGCATTTAAACCGCGTTGACTGTTCACATTGTAGAGATATTACTTCAGCCCAAAAAGAATTACCTGCGCATGGATATCCTTTAGAACATCCTTTCAATAAGGTTTCCAAACAACATTTAGTATCTGTATTGAAATAGGTCGGTCGTACTTGTTCGATCTCGTGACTTGAAATTTGTTACACCATTGAAATAGGACGGCTATCGATATATTTTAGCTGAGAAAGACCCACTGGCTAAAGTGGACGACGTCGATCCGGATGTTTGGCTTGGCAAAAAGCCCCTGCCGGCGCGAATATACCGAGCTGTATCAGCTCCAGCAGTTTATGTCTCACTCAATGATAGGGGTAACCGCATTTTAAAAGTTTTTCTACCATCAATAAACAACTGTACTTACTATATTATAAATGTATAGACATGACATTTTTACGTATCAATTTATTGGATGAATACCTAAGATGTTTAAATATTAAATTTTGTTTTCATAAAATATCTCTAGCCCAACTATTAAAAGTCTCTGATGATCGCCTAACAGTCACTGGATATAAAGGATATGCTGTGGCTAGAGCAACTCATGGTTAATACATGATCAGACTCTTAAAATTAGCTTACGATACAATCAATCCCTTTATCTCCTTTGGGATGAATATTTGTAAAATTCTTTATTTTGTTAGGGGTAACTGAAGGGGCCTGGTATTTTGAAGTGACTGTTGACGACTTACGTAATGGGGAGGCCGCTGTTAGGCTTGGATGGTCTCAACTGTTCGGTAACTGTGAAAGTTGCTTTCTAGTAAAGAAGTCTTGTTAAAATTTTATGACGCTACAACTATAATCTGATATAATTTTTGTATCTTTAGGTAACTTACAAGCGCCTTTAGGATACGATAAATTTAGTTATTCATGGAGAAACAGAAAAGGAACACGATTTCATCAAAGTCGTGGAAAATCTTTTAGTGATAGTTTTTCGGAGGGTGACGTGTTGGGTTTCTATATTTACCTCCCTAGAAAGGAAGATGGTAAAAATAAACGCTTATAATCTATTTGTAAAAGATTAGTCTTGTATACGTACTTAAAAGATTTCTTCACTAACGCTTGATTCTTTATGACTTATCTAAATTTGTAGGTACCCTGTTACCAGAAAATTATAAAGATAAGGTATGTGATTAATTCGCTGTTGTACTGAATGTAGGCATAATATTGTATAGATATCAATAGTTACAGTTACTTCGTGTTAACTTATAGAGCTGATTGGTCGTTACATTTCCTTCACTTCGAACTTTAGGTTTTAATTACCTTCAAGGGCTTTTGCTATTATGAAGTTCGTGATAACGCCACTGAAGCAGAGAAGGTAAATTTAGCACCTTAATTGATACCAAAGGTTACTTTTTGTGAGATTTCTTGCTAAGAACAGAAGTTTATTTACTACATTTGGTGATTCATTACAGAAATTAAAGGAGCTACCAAGTAGTAAGGTAATACTAGTGATCATTATCATTTTCTTATATAGTGGCGATTGATCGGAAGGTTTTATCCTGCATTTTTAGATAATTTTATATAAAAACGGTATTCGTCAAGGAGTTGCATGGGAAAATATTTTTGAGGGAACGTATTATCCTGCAGTTTCGATATATAAATTTGCTCAGGTATGTAGTACGCATGTAATAATTTGTCGAATTATCTACAGTATGCTATTCGTATAATGTACTGGAATATTTATAGGGATTATTTAGGTCGCTTTGTAAAATTAATATTTTAAGAAGGGTGTTAACGATAAGGGGCTATTATTAAATTATAGGTGACACTCAATTTCGGTCCGAACTTTAAATTTCCTCCACCGGATGTCGAGTATCAACCGGTATGTACTCGATTAGAATATTTTCTTCGATCTGTTGCAAAATCTAATTCCCTTTCATCGTTGTCGCACTGCTCTATTTCTAGATATCCGATTTAGCAACGATCGCGGTTGCTAAACAATGTTTAGCAGATTTAGCGTTTCACGTAGATTACGCCGTCGAACCCAAACAGCCGGAATCTATTTATGTTCTAAATAATAATTCTACCGTGAAAGAAAATTAAGATCATATCGTGCTTTATATTTCAAGGCGACTGCGATTCCCTTATTATCGATCATAATTTATATTTGTAGTTAGCATCATAACTTCACCATAGTAACCCTAAAAATGAACTTTTATCATAACCAAATTCAACGCTTATGATTTCGTCCATGTAAATTTTCAATGTTAGAACAAATATTATAGTCGGAGCTCTGTTTAGCTCGCATGTAATTTGTTTAAAGAACAATAGATACATCTGCGATTGTTGAAATACTGTTTATTATTTTGAAAAATTGAATGTAGTCTCTTTTATGGTAACTTGTAAGGTTTATAAATAATCACAAAAGTAGTCTCTACTGTATATTGCATTTAAAATGTTGCTGTAAATGCGGTTATATTCCTATGCTTAATTTAGATTAGCAATAAAACGGAAGATATTATTTCAATACCAAGAGCAGATTTGCCTAGTATTTCCTACTAATTAGTATTAGCAAGGCATTAGTTTCTTTAAGAAAACAAGACGGTATCGCTTACAATGAACGCGGTAAACTCTAATTTATTCAAATAAAAATAATAATTACAAGATGATCAAACGTCTAAATTGAATTTCACCAAATATTTGTTCTTTTCGATTTTAGATAGATTTCTCTGCAATAAAATACTGGGCACCAAATCATAGCAGCATAGTTTCCGGTTTTTCCATTAAACTTCTAAAAACAGATAGCCAACGAGCCCCCGTGGCCCCATCAACGATACGATGGTCACAACTTAATGTTACAGACATGAAGGTAGCCGTGGAGTAACTATCGCAATAATAAACAGATAGATAGCTCTCTTAATGATACAGTTATAACTACAATTGTTAGTAGTAAAGATCAAGAAAAGTAAATATATCTACCCAGATTCAACATCATTATCCGGAATCATGCGTTTTTCAGTAGTACCAACTGCTAGTATACAAGCCTGCAGAATGCGAAATCGTTAGTAATGATAGGTGATTGTAACACTCTTATTGCGATCAGAATTTAAATTTATATTGCAATTACCTGGGGAGGATTAATTATTGCAGTAAACTGTTTGATACCAAACATACCCAGATTTGATATAGTAAAAGTGCCACCCTAAATGTCAACAATACTTTAGCATATACGTATCTCGAAGGTTTATTAATATGGGAGTATGTATGTATATAGTATCACATTCAAGCGCTAAAAAAAGTGCCGATAGTAAGCAAACCTGAAATTCTTCCGGCTTTAATTTATTTTCTCTAGCCCTTAAAGCTAACGATGTAACGTCACTACTAATACTTGACAAACCCTGTTAGCAATTATGAGAACGGTAATCAATTTATAAAATATGAAAGTAGTGAATTTATCAAAGCATCATGTTTTACCTTGTTATGTGCGTCAAATATTATGGGTGTAATCAAACCGGTACCTGTATCAACAGCTACACTTACATCAACACCTTTATACCTATAAAACAAAATTTTTATCAATGTAGAGCGATTTATAAAGGTAGGCCACTGTATGCAGTATGATGAAGGTAACACGATAATGTGTGAGCTGTATACTTTATTCTGTAAGCTATGCATTTAACGCGTTCGAGTCCTAGGCACTGTAGTGCATATATTTATAAGGACGGCACAATATACTTTTCAAACAAATCGCTTATTTCGATGTGGGTAAGAGAATAAACAGCTAAAATACTAACTTAAACTCCAATAATAATGATACTCACTGTCGGATATAAGTATCGTGCCAGGAAGAGTTGACTTCTGGAACCTCTTTCATAGATAAAGCTGCTGCTTTAACTACAAAGTCGTTGACAGATAATTTATAATTACCATTTGCCATATCGTTGAATCGCTTTCGTAGACTATTAAGACGAAATGAATAGAGAGCTAGTAGTTCAGCAGCGATACAGCGTATTTTATACTAGTAGCGCAAACATGGTAATCAAGATTACCTTAAGATTTCATCAACATTAATATCTACTGTTAAATAATAGTGAGGTATAGTTTGCTTTGATTCCGATAGCCTGTTGGCAATGATCTATCAATAATTTCGCAATCAAGTATTAATGGAATATCCAAAAAATAGAGGATTTAAGTTTTTCATAGTTTTAAAAGACTTTATATAAGAACGGCGATGACTTATTATCCCATACTTTTCGAACTCCGGAAATAGGAATATCGACGTATTGAGCTGAAATGAATTTAACAAAAAATCGAGTCATCGCTTACACTAATACAAGAAGATTTGATATGAATCAATCATAACTCAATTTCTGTATCAGAGCGATATCTGTATTTCGCACACCTTCAGAGGGAGGAGCTGCAGTAGTAGTTGGAGTGGATGCAAAATTTAGGACGTCATCTTTCCTGATTTGTCCTCCAGGCCCAGATCCAGCGATGGAAGCTAAATCAACCCCCTGTTCACTTGCAATGCTACGGGCTAAAGGAGAGGCAAAAATTCTATCACCAGCAGGGGTGAGAGCACTTTTTGCTGAAGTAGTATCGACAGATTGTTGCATTGGTTTCTCCTAACGATATGCATATAATGATATTATGAAAAGAAATGATCTACCTAAGAAACTCGTATCTTATCTAACCGTAATAAAACAGCAATTTTATTTTACGGAAAATGTCTAACATGATATGTATCAATCTGACTGATTCATGTATTACTTACAGGCTCAGAAGTAATCACCTCTTGGCTACGAGCTGGTTCGTGTACAGTCTCAGATGATACTGACACAGCCTCAGTTACTTCTCCACCTTCATCCTTAAAATCTTTAAATGCATTAATATCTTCTTTGTTTTCCACGATGATACAAACCAACTATGTAAAATAATATATATATATATATAACGGCAGTAATGTTAAACTTCAATTACCAGGCAGTTGAGTGATATAGCATCGATATAAAATCGTGTGCTATTACAAACATTATATTAGACCTTGCCGACTGGAATATCTTTAGTGCCTTCTGGAGTAACAATTTTTGCTAGGTAGCCAGCCTCAGGAGTTTCCCAGTCCATAGTGGCTTTATCTGTTTCAATTGAAGCCAGGAGATCTCCGTCTTCCAATTCATCACCTTCTGCCTTTTCCCAGCTTAAAAGGGTACCCATTTGCATAGTGGGCGACAAAGCAGGCAAAAGCAACCTTGACATGTTCTGGTAGTGCTGGATAAGAGATAATATGTTTACTTAGAACCGTCAGGTTCGCAATGATTAAATAATACATCCGTTTTTATTTTTATGGATGAATTGCCGATAAACGCTAGAAAGTGTGAAGTCTATCGTCATAAATAGCAATTGTTATTGCAACATTTACGGTTATTGCAAAGTGTATTGGAGTATAAACTGAATATAGTTGTACTTTTTAATATAATTTCGTAAATTGTGACTTTTATGCTATCATGAGCATTGAATAAACTATTCATCATCATATACGTATTACTGTCGCAGTAGAGTGTTTATCGGCTACTTTACTATTAAAGACTTTAATGCTAATGAAATAATCTGCTTTAAATTAGCCTCATACTTACACTGACTGCAAAATAGCAATTTACTTTGCTTGTTAAAGTTGTTTAATCGTAATAAGATATTGGTCCTAAAGGGAATGAACATAAACGATCGTTATAAGTTTCAAGTTAAGTTTCAATCTTTTAGCATTTAGGCACAAATATTCCTTAATGCTCGTAAGTATAATCGTACGTACGAAAATGATACTGTATAAGAATTTCATTCTATAAAGTACTTCTAATTTAATACAATACGAATTCGAGATAAAGAATTTACTAATTCAAGCGAGAAAAACAATTAATAATGCGATGGTTTAAGGGTTAATGATAACATCATCAGATTTAAGGTCACCCTTTTACCATTCCGTTGAAGACAAAAAACAGATGCTACCGAACAAATTATCCTACTTACCTTCCAGAGTTTGCTAGCTCATTGCAGTAAGAAACGATTGGTCGTTTTTTGATCCATGATGACATTGGAGCGGAACGCAGTGATCGCTGCGATATGACAGCATTCCTGGAGGAATTCCTGATTGTACTTGCACAAATACGACGACTAAAACTAAGCATTTTGAATTTTCAGCTTCTATCTATCTGCTGGTTTTACCTGCTACAGTGACTGCAAGTGATGCCAAGGAGCAATCAATCTTGACTACTGTCCCTTGGGCAAGGAGCAAAATCGTTGCGGAGCACGGACAGACAGCTGATACGTACCAGTACGAGAAAAAGAGCACCTACTGTACAATGTACAGTATGGTAAAATACCAGAGTGCAAGAGTACGGATTACTGTACTGTACAGTACAGTACTGTACACCACTGTACAGTGCAAAACAAGACAAGACAAGACACACGTACTGTACAGTACGTCGTACAGTACAGTACAGTGCTGTACAGTGCTGTACTGTACAGTGTACAGTGTACAGTACAGTACAAGAAAAGACCTGGAAGACCTACAGTACAGTACAGTACAGTACAGTATTGTAGACTGTACAGTATGGCATGAAGGACTTTTAAAAAAGACTAAAAAAAATAGTCTTAGAAGTCTATGGCATTAGTATCAAAATCGATCTTTTGCGAACACGCACCACGCGTAAAATCCGAAGAAATTATTGTTAATGTACAGTACATTGTTAAGCATTCTTAACCAATCAATATCTATTTTTGATGAATACGCATCACGTGCAAATCCAAACTGCAGTGCCTACGTGAAAAAGATTTCGTGGCTGTACTCTACAGTACAGTGCACGCCTGAGTACAGTACTGTAGACTGTAGACTCAGTGGAGGTCTTCATAATCATGGTCTGGTATGCTCTGGTCAGTAGTCTTCAAGATCTGAACAAGACCATCAAGAGCTGGGACGTTTCACAAAGAAATCTCTTACTAATGAATACAGTACTGTACTGTACAGTACTGTACTGTACATTAGAGGTAAGAAAAATCTCTATACTGTACTGTACTGTACTGTACTGTACTGTACAGTACACTGTACAGGAATTACATGAGTCTAGTAACCGACAGTACGGTACTGTATACAAAAGCCGGTTTGAGTTACAGTCAGCTCCTGCCAAAATCATGCTGGAACCGGCTGAGCCAGTTTCCTTCCAGTCGATTTAATACTCTTTCGGACGGACAGAATGAGTGAGGATGATTAGTGTTGATGGGAAAGTGAAGAGCCTTTGAGCGTCTAAGGCTTTGACACACGTATAAGCATAATAATGGAGTCGTACACTACCTTGAAAGTGGTGTCAAAAATGAACAAACTTTCAAGTGTCATAGTCTGCTGTAGTTCCATAATCTGCTATGGAAATGTTTAGCTAATATTGACAACGAATAATTAATGTCATAAATCATTTATATCATTAATACGCGTATCTGTGTTTCTATCTACGAAAAATCTGATATGCAAAGTGACAATAGTCGTTAAAAGGATGGACACTGTATGTTAATTTATTCAAATTGGATCTTGTTATTTCCCATGTTTGACTATCAATAAATCAACTTCCGACTTATTTTAATAAAACAACGTGGACGCAAAGATGAGTTTTGCAAAATGCAGCAACAGTCTAAGTTATATACTACTGTAATACGATCATACTCATCCGTATAATTAGTTGCATTAAAATGTATTGATCGCCTTTGCTTGAACTATCGAACAAAGTATGATACCGAATATTCCATTGATACAGTGCCGAAGCAGTAGCTAAAAAGGATTTGCTCAGCCCTACTAAATAATAATTTATGTAAATGAGTAAGGATATCCCTTGTCCTTTTAGACTGCGTTACTAAGGATAGAAAAATGAACTGTATTCACGTGTTGAAAACAATTCAACTTATAAAAATTAAGAACAATAAAGTAAACAGTTATTGACGCCGAAAATAAATAGCCAATGCGATAACAATGTATTGTATTCATGTTATTTTTTTAATATACTGCAGATAATAATCTAAAGTACTTCATCTAGTTAGGGAATAACTACTCAATATATATATAGTAGATTGTATTTATTTGCTAGTATGTTTTTTACTATTCTGTCTACAGTATAAGTATAGCCGTAACATTTTACAGTCCACTGGTCCCAACCTATCTGTAACACTTGTACATATTGATGATACCATTCGTTTGCTTAGACATTAATCCAACTTGATCATCCAAAAGGGTTCAAAAACAAGTTCAGATATCATAAATAATTAAAAATCAAATCTTAAAAGTGAGTAAGTAAATAAATGTACAGAAGTAGTTTATTAGCTCATTGATTTTAGGAGCTTATACTTTCATTACTTCATACGCAGCACGATGATAAAATACAAAATAATTGTTTGTAAAGTTAACAAGAAGAAAACTTTATTTCAGGATGTCACAACCGCCGGAAAAGAAAACAACAAGTACAACTGATGACAGCAATCCCGCTACAAACAACATAAACAAACCAACCAAATCGGCATTAAAAACTAGCGCAAGTCGTTCTAATAACAGTACTAATACTGGAACTAAGTTACCACCGATTAATAAGAAAACATCGACGACCACCAATGTCGTTGCTAACCAAAAGAAGAGACCAATGACCGCTAAAGGGCCTAGAAATAAGACCGGTCCTGCAGTGGGTAAATTTAAGAAAACAGTTGAAAAAAATGCTAATAATAAAAAGAAAGGCAAAAACGACATAGGTAACGGTCAAGCTGTCAAGTTAATTAATCAGAAAGAAGAAAATTTAAATCAAAACACCAATGATACTAGCAATAGTGCACCAAATAATGATACTGTACCAATAATTAACGAGATTAAAGAAGAGGAGGAACCGGCTAATAGAACAAGCGGAGATGAGGGAGAGCCTAGTGAAATTAGACGATCTACGACACCTAACATTGAAGCATTAGTTCATAAAGCTGCATTTCTTCTTGAACATAATGCAAGTGTAAGCTCACGACACAATTCGCAAGTATGGGGTAAAAACTCTTCAACAGGTAAAGATAACCAGTCAGTAGAAGAAGGCCCTGTAACTATGAAAGCTTCTATCCCTGTCCTGCCAATGTGGCTTGCGATAATTTGTTGTATATTCAATTTTATCATTCCAGGCTCAGGTACGTTAGTTACCTAACTTTAAAACTTATCTACTGCGGTTAATGAGTCAATAGGCAGTGATAGTCTTTGTTTCTTAATTTTTATCTATTTAGTTGCGTTTGTCATTTAGAAGCTAACAATTAATTTATTGTTGCTAATTACCGCTAATATCAATCGATCAAATTGCTACAATGAACCAGATTTTGTAATGTCTTCCTATACCACTCTATTAAATGAGTTCATTACTCCTATTTATAAGCAAAAAAAAATTAATAAGATTCTTTATTATTTATTGTAATCGATTCTCATAGATAAGTTGACCAAAGTAATTTTCCCGTAAAATGATAATAACTAATGTATCATTGGTTTTTTTAATTCATAGCCACATTAGTACCAGGATCTTTACGTTTATAGTTTCGTGAAATTTTGATAAATGTATACTACAACTTCCTAGCGTTGCTCTGCACTGAAATAGAAGTGTTAACACAAATTTCATTAACGTACCCAGATTTCTGTGTCTAAATTTGTAATTGAGCAGTAGTCTAGATAGTAAATGATGCCCAATATAATTATTTCATTCACCTGAGGAATTTCATTTTAAATTATTTAGTTGCGATATTATAGTCAATAGCATTTGCGATTATATTCATTAGAGTTTTATTCATGTGAAACTATCAGCCTGGCAAATTTTTCTATCTATTTAAGAACACTTAAACATATTCCAAGCGGATGATATTTTCAGTTATATTAGAACTCCAATTTGTAATAGCAGTTTACTAAATTCTGTACTATAGATAAATCAGCAAATATCCAGTACGAATATTCAATATCCAAAGACCTGCTTAAATATTTAACTGTATGATATAAGCTATTGCCTTTTAAATTTAACTATTTTATGCATTTATCGTAGGAACGATTATTTCTGGGCTTAGCCTGCTCTGCCATGAGGTTAAAAAGAAAAAGGATCGCTTTCGAAAATTAAAACAGTGCTTAATTAACGTCAGTGTTGGTGTAATACAGTTCGCTTGTATCGTTTTTTGCTTAATTGGCTGGTTTTGGAGCATTATTTGGGGTACAATCATGATCGGTCTAGCTAGAGAGAATGCAGGTACAATATCATAAGTGTTACAAATACGAATATATTGGCAATTAACGTAATGAGTTGTAACTGCTTCAAATTATAAGGTACAAAAACAAATATACTATACTTTAAGCCATATCACCCTTTTATGAACATTAGCTCTATTCTATATTTAGCTATTTTATCCTAATACTTGATATCTGTGATAATAGCCAAAGAAAGACTCTTTGAAATATTCACCGTAGTTCTTGTATTAAGCTATATGACTGTACCATAATTACTTTTCATCGACCTAATGTGAGCTAAAACTGTAAATATAATTAATAGCAGAAAGTGGATATGCTTATTTTACAATTATTCCAGTAAATGAAATTATCACATCATTTGAATTGATCTAAAGTATACTTCGACCATCAATTTCAGCGATGTAAATGACATCCTGTATTAGTGAGATATACAGTACAGTACTTTATAATAGACCTAATTGCGCTTATCAGTCATCGAAATAATTTTGGACGCCCACGGATACACTACTGTAATGCTACAATTAGGTAAATGACATGATCATAAATGGGAATATCTTGATGAAACATGGTAATAAAGAGATTAACTTATCCGAATCTCAGTAAATCAAATGTTAATAGTTTTAACATAGATATTTTCGTTGTGGTTGAATAGCAATGTTAACTTATACATTAAAATTGTTTTTAAATTTCTTACTTTTTAGAAACGATAACGAAATCTAGAGCAAGCTCGATGCAAGCGTCATCATCCAGAGCTAGCACATTTCGTGATAGCATAGCTGCATAAAGTGATTCTATCCATTGGTATTATGTTTATAAGGTAGCAATTTACAAATTGCTAGTATTGACATAATTTTATTTTCAATCTTATCTACTATTTACTGACGATGATGCTGTATTCCATTTTTTATTTATATCTTATAAGTAATAAGAAACGTTATCGGAAATTGTAAATATTCGATAACTAACCGTTAATATGATCTTAAAATAATATAGAATGTATATATTCGAGTATGTCAATATATTATATAGAATCTAACTGTAGAAAAATTGCTAGTGTAAACTTTATAACCAATTTAGATCGTACTGGATAACTTTATGTTTTTTACAAATGAAAAACTGACTTAATTGCATTTTGCCCATGCTACAGTTTAAACATATTCAAATTGCGTACTTGTAGTAAGGTTACTGTTTAGTGCAGTAAAGGATTATTTAGATTAGCATATAATGTACATGAATAACATAACTTCAAAAAATAGGCAATAAAGATTTTTTTCAGAAAGCGCATCCAGTATAGTATAATCTTATTGATATTTTTATGTAATGCATAAAACGCCAGCACCATACTGTAACAATCCTGTTGGCTGCAGCTGACATGAATAATTACTTGATGAAATCTATGCGATATTTTGTCTAAAGATATATAAGTGATTGTACCATTGTAATACTGTGCGTTTAGTGCATTAGTATTGGGTTACTAATTTCACCTGCCCTTCCTATTAAATCTAAGGAGAGTCTTATAATACTACAAGCTTACCCGCTGAATAGATCGAGAGGTCTTGGTTGTCATAGTTGATAATAGTCTTACATAAAACTACCCTTATTCTTAGAATTGTATCTAGTCTTCAATGCAACTATATTTAACCCCTACCATCTAACATGCTACCTGCGTCATAGTGTATCATCGATTACAATTTTGAAATTTAGTTTCAGATGTGTGTACAGCAGCATCAGTATAATAAGGAATGTGCTAATCAATTTTTAATTATTGTGGAGTTGATGGAGATTTCATTCAGTAATATTCTAAACACCTATATATCCTTACAGTATAGATCCTTATTGAGTCTTTAAGCACTATAATTAATATTTAATTTAATTGATATACGTAATATAGTTATGAATGCTGGAATGATAGAATAAAAGGGAAGTCTACGTAGAATTTCTACAAGCATACTTATTATGGCAGTATTTCATAAGATAACTGTTGTGATTGCATCGAATAAGTAAACAATCGCGATTAATCTTACGATTATAGCTTTTAACCTTTTCATTTATTTTAGGACACCAAACAAGCAGAAAAATTAACGTTGTCTTCGATAAAAAAGTAAAAGAATAGTCTGGAGCTATATTAGCCCATCATTGATATTTTATACAGTTTAGGCTACTGTTATGAGGGAAATATCATCATTTTTGATTCAATAATTGTTATAATTTAATCGACAGTTTAAAACCAGAGTATCGGATTCGATCGATAATGTACGTGATGCAATTTGATCGCCATAATTTATTGTATGTTATTCTATGATAGCTTGATATTACTTAGCCATTGCAATCGAAAGAGCGGAAATAATTATTCTCTGTATTGGTTATTCAGCCAAGATATCAGTTTTTATTAGTTTTTTACGCATCTATTGCGGGAAAGAAAATTTTAAAACAGATGAAATATAACGATTAGAAATATTTACAGATATTTCAATTAATTGTAAACATCACTGCTTTCTAAATTGTAGATAAAAACACTTTATTAAATTAAGGCACTATAAATTAAAACTCACTTTAGACTTCAGTAATTTATACCATGAAAGATTACCTTACCCCAGTTGTGCGTTAATTTATTGTATTAAATACTGTAAGATCAGAAATATTGTAGCAATTCATTTTATTAGTCACGTCAAATATTTTGAAAACAAACGAAATCATCATTGAGGCATCATTATACATACACTTAGTGCGAGAGTAGATAGTATTTTTAACCGGATTGCGTTGCTAACATAGACTTTAGCCGTAAAATGAAAATAAAAGTTTGACTAAATTACGAATAAGATACTAGCGGTAAAGTTTCATTATATTCTGCATCGAAATACAAGATTGGAATACTAATGGGATTGCGATAAACTAGATTTAAGAGTCTTTGGTTTAAATCGCCTTTTCCTAAGATTGATCTTTGCATTTGACATACTTGGTGATAATGTGCCGCCAATCTTGCGCCTTATACTACTTGAAGACCTTTTAACCCTCGTATTTACAGAACCATACAGGATAGCGTTGGAAACGACACCAAATATTTGAATTATAGCTAGGAATGGTCGTACTTTAATATAAACTTCTCGTGAAATAATATGAGTTAAGAGAAATAACAAGAAAATGCTACTTGGTAGGTTGCAAACAAAGAAAAAGACGACACATGTTATAAATATTTTCGCTACCCTCTCTTTCCTAACCAAGTTATGCACGAATATCGACTGTTGATAAAGATGCTTTAAAAAATTAGCTTTAAATCGTTGCTTGCGCAAGATACGTATAATGAGAACGTATAAGATAGTCATAGTTATGCAGGGGATTACATAAGCAACCAGCAAGTAAATAACGGCGCAAATAAAATAAACGAAACTAACATGTTTCTCATTGATGGAAAAATCCATAGGAACAAGGGGCAAATCTAATAAGCAATAAGACTGATTATCAAAATTGCTTGGCATAACAGATAGATAGCGTAAGTATGGATAACACATTGCCAGAGCACTCAACCAAATGATAATCACAACTAGTACTGCCCGTCGAATTGTTAATCGCCACTTTAATTTTGCTATACCCCTCAGACCATTATAACGATCGATACAAATGGCCATTTGAGTAAATGATATCAAGAGCACAGAGAACAAAGTAACAGTATTATAAATTTTACACATTGCCTGGCCAAACAGCCAAACGCCTGAAGTGAAAATTTGAGTCACTAGCATCCATGGGATATGAAAAACAGAGATCAGTAAACCAGCAAGGGCTAAGTTTAAAAGTAAGATATCCGTTGCCTTTTGCAGTTTATGCTTACCGATCAATAAACTAGCGACAACTACCAGATTGCCTACCAAACCAACTAAACCAAGCGTAATATAAAGCGTCAGAAACGTAATTTGGAATGGTGATAACGTTACCACGTTTAGAGAGACTGCAGGTGATATTGTTATCAAGCTATTATTATCAATCACACTGTGGTTACTCAATAGATTTTCATCCATGATGGATTGCATCAAACATTAAATAGTAATGCGTATATGTAATATGTCAGTTTTCTTCTCTTTGCTCTATATTGGTCACTTTATTGAATTCAAGTATTTACGATAGAATTGCCAAAATTAAAGGAGAAAAATTAGCCTAAAGTTAAGATTTCGATGACTGGAAGAAAATATACAATATTAAATTGTGAATTACACTATAACGATGATCTCGGACCACCCAACATAAACGATGAATTAATTTTGTATGCTTGATCTGAAATTAATTAAAAGATAAACATTTAGACTTTCATAAATAATATGTACTCAGTAAACTTGTAACTAAAACGGCGAACGCTCCAAAGCCAGTTAAGGAAATGACAAGTATCTACTTTTTGATGATTTTAATACCGATAAGTATCGCTGTCAGCACCTTGTATGTTGAGAAAATCAATTATTAAATTGACGATTATTCTAAATAAAGTAAGTACCACAAATTTCGGATGAAGATAGAATAATAAAACAAACGCATCTTAAGCGTCAATTTTTTAATATCTTTTACCAAAAGAGTCGATAGGTAATGGTGTGTTGTATATTCAAGAAAATGAAATGACTTTGTTTGTAATTCTTTTCTACCTAATATCACAATTATTGCTTTCTATAGGCATTGTGTCCTTTTGGAAATATCCCAGCCATTAATTTTCGTCCCTTATGATCCAATTATCTTGTAATTTAATTAATTATGCAAATACATAATCCTACTGAGGTTATATTCATAAATCATCTGTTCCATGCAATTTAGGGATACTTTCCATTAGAAATATTTCATTAACATGATAAAGCGATGGCATTTACAGATTTCAGATTAAAGTAGTACCACATATGCCACCTCATTAAAATTAACTGGTGAAGTGATCAGTAGTAAATTGTATTTTTACTAACATACGTTTACAGATATTGAACTATACCAAACTATCGAAATTTTACTTAATTGGATTAAAATAGCATAATTGATCTCCAACAACGAGTTCAATATTTTACTTGATATTTTCCAGCGGTAAGCAGTAAAGTTTTACTCTGTCTTTTAAAAGTACTGCAACGTGTTTCTCAGCCTTATTGTTTCATAATAATGAAGTAACGGAACCAATTCTAACAGAGAGTTTTAAATTCTGTGTGAAACGGAGCAGCTTGAATATGAATAATTCATCTGTTTGTAAGCCAAGTATACTATATTATGAATAGAGCTCATGATAGTCAAAACCTTTCAGTAGATATTATTCATCTTTACCCTTTGATAACCTGTACATTAAAAATTGGTTTTGTAGAAGTATAGAGCTGTTACTATTTGCATTAAACGCTCATAGAATAGAAATCATTAGAAAAATTATATGAAGACAGATTCTCGGTTTGAAGTTGTGAAAAGTGCTGATAAATCTCTGATGTACTGTAAAAATTATTGCTCGAAGAATAGCTTCTGTTTGCATGAATCAACGGAAGATAGAAAATTTAAGACACTGAGCGTACCGGTATTTAAAATAAATTATCATATTTTGGATATCTAGATGTTAACTTTTCTTACTGTTAGGACCATAAAAACTAATCTGAATAGAATATGACATAAAGAAATCTCGTTAATTTCTAATCGGTAAGTAAAAAATACTTAATTCTAGCATGAAATCTAACTTAAGGTGCTTACTATGGTAATTCTCAAATTTTGTACACTAAGAAGAATGCTCTCTTTGTATATTTAATTGGTAGAGAAACACTATCACTGGAGGAAGAGACTTGAACAATTACTACCGATAAGATGCTTTTTAAATTGCATTATTTAAATGATTTCTCCTAACGTTGTAGGTACGTTGTATTGAAGAAATTAGTATAAATATTTAAAACGTCCAGACAATGTGAGTTCAGCAAATATCCATTTATATTTACCTTAGACTGTTAACCAAGGGCTCTTTATTAAAGAAATATCTGTGAATTTTATAGCTGATACAGTATTTGGATTATTATGTTTATGATCAAAGAATTTAGAAACAAACTATTAACTATAATAGCTATAGCAACTATCATATCAGCCTACTAACAGGAACATTCTTCAATAATTAATTAATCTCAACCGAAATAACCAGTTGATTCTGAATTGATTAACTAGTACAGTTTCACTATGTACGTATGAAGAAGATTTTGCACTGTAAGAACAAAATCAGAGCGATAATTTCAGGCTTCCATAAATAGAGTATCCGATCGTTGTGTTTACAATTAATTCATAATAAATTATTTTTATTTCAGTAAGATAATGTTAATTATTGTCTAACATCAAATTTCTGATAAATTTTATTTCTCATTACCGGCATTTTATTCATCGATATAACCAAGACTCATAGAATAATTTAATCGCAATTACTATATGTTACGCATCAGTTATCAGTTTTAATGAAAGAAGCCACAAATTTTTTTAACACAGACTGTTAACTTACAATAGCTATAGTAATGAATCAGATAGGGAAGTCATTCAATTAATTATTGATATAAACATAATATCATACTTTGTGATTAGTGGTTAGGCAGGTAAATTTATCGCTCATTTTGTTCCCGTTACGATAGTGATAATGGACATACACTAGCATATCGATATTATTATTAAGTTATCTGTCGGCCTTTTGATATATGTAATTGCGCGTATAATTTCTCTTTAATGATTTTTAATTAATGCATTCCAGGCTGATCTCTGGATAGAATACATAAGATATGCATTAGCAACAATTTCACATATTTGTCATTTTACCAATAATATCGATATCGTTATTGCTATTATTTAAAGTAGCTTTCCTTGCACGTCATGGCGTGCAAATTATAATATTACTAGGTATTTTACTCAGCACACTATCGGCAGAAATATGCTAACACATATACTATTACTTTTGATTCTAAGGAGGGTATGAAGGTGAACTAAAATTATGGATGGATAACGTAAGATATGTTTGCTATTTTTCGAATATGATCAAAGGTATTAACTAAAATATTTAAGAACGAGTGAGACAGTAACTGAATTAGTTAAATTTTGCACCAGTGAGAGATTTCTCAATTATACTGGTCATCCAGCTAAAAGAACAACTGAAGCTGTGAAGTTAATTTCATTAATCGCCAATTTTTATTTATTTTCAAAGAGATTGTAGTGAATTTTAAGTTAAAGTTCAGATCAAAATAGTAATTCTAACAGTTCGCATTGCTTACATTATTATTTTACAATAACAACTTCAATTTAAGTTTTTATTTTGTTTGTGCTCAAATGTCCTGTATTTAGGAATAAAGATGATCTGAAAACTTATTATTATGTATTGCTGCATCACAATAACATCTTGAAATTGCTTTTACTCATGAAAATTTATTTCATCCATGTATTGCCTATACACCAGAATTACGTCATAGTAATTCTGGTGTGACTACATTTCTTGAATCCCATCTTCATTCTTGGTCTGTATGGATTAATGATAGTAATTTACCTTTTACGCCCTACATCTAAAAATGAAGGTCAAAAATGATAATTTAATTTGTAAATTCTAATATATAAAATTTTCCGTATAAATTCATAGTAAAGATCATTAAAGTGATAAAATAAATACAATTCTAACGCTGTGAATTTTGTAAAGTGATTGCAATATACGATGCATGTAAAATGTATTCAATTTTCACCTGCTACCACAATTTATGATACCGAATAGGAAACTTAAAATCTGTGATAGAATTCCTTGTGATAACTTGATATCGAAATAGAAATTGCAGACAGTATTGATCAAAAGCATCTGTTTATTCAATTCAGTTATATTATAAAATCAAAACAGAACGTGTTGCAACAGTATTTCATTTGATTCAAATACCATACTGAATAATACTAGATATTGTAAGATGAAATCTTATCAAATTAAGGGATACTAAGTATTCAATGTAATAAAAGTTTTTTGATGCATTTGATTCGTAAACAATCATTTTAACTGGAATATCAGTTTGATGCTAGCCAATCAGTAAAATGGTCCATAGGTTGATTACACATCTGATAGTACTACAGTTTATTCTATGTACACTTTGCGTTGGCTTAGTTTCCGTTTGCTATTATATTATATAAAGATTTGCTTCCATTCACGTCCCCCATTCCTACGTTAACGAATGAAATGTTGACATAGATTTATTAGAAAGCTTACTAAATATTAGAATAATAGAATTTAAAGTCGACAAAAATTCTAAATAATTAATTAATATATAATCAATACATTAATTTGTATTAATTGGTGTATGGGATAATAAAGCAAAAATCATCATTTTCCACTATCTTGTCTCGAAGAAGTGCGTTAACTGAAGTATATTATCAAATTATTTTATAGAAAAAAAAATAGATATTATTAACAAAATTAAACAGTTGAGTAACTTCTTGCGGTTCTTGTTAGACTTATTAGGCGGCAGCTGATTTCATAACGCCAAGTTCGAGTATAGAGTAGTATATATTAGTAGAATAGTGAACTTTAGGCAATAAATCTCATTTATTTGCGGTAGCAATCTCGGCTTATCGCCAAAAGGTATTCGTTTAGATATATTAATAAGTATCAATGTCATTTAAATTCAAAATTCAGGCTATCGGCAAGACTCAATCAGATGTGATACTACCGTTAAGAAATTGAAAGCATTTTAAACAGATGGATAGACATTGACTTTAATACATCATGCGTAGACTAACGGGGATTGGGATGTTTAATTTATGGATAGTGTATATCTAATACTCGAAATTTTTAGATCTATTTAGAATTGCTTCATTCCTATGTAATATTTGCGCTTAGAGAATTCGTGAATAAATACTCCAGTACAAGATTTTACTCCTATCAAGACTTTAATACAGTGCTATTTGGATATCGAAATATATTTTAAATCGTGATAAATTTTTATAAAACTGCTTATAATATAATATAAGGTAGACTGCAATTGTCAGTTTTAGAGCACAATCAGATGTAGGAGTAATACTACAGTATAAA